TGCCGTGACGTGTCCGGGCACTCCCATACAACTTGACTGCCCTCGCCTGCCCGGCTCCTGCCCAGGAAACCTGCTTGCCACGAGGACAGGGCAACACATTTTGCAGGACTGTTTTTTGGAATGAGGCTGGCTTGTTCTCAAAAGCTGACCTTAGCTCCCAGGCACAAATGTCCCCTCCTGGGGGCCCTTGTTCAGCCCTTGAGTGTAGGGGACTGCTCTGGGGCAGAAAACAGGCTTCAAGCACCCTCTGGCTTTGGTTACAGACTGATATTTTTATAAACACCAGATCAAATTTTTCAGGATTTTGTGGGTGCCCTAGAAATTTCAAAGCCTTTTTAAGAACACCTGTATCTGGGGGACTTCTCTGCATTGAGGCTTGGCTCTCTCCCTTTGAGGTCTGCAGGAAAACCAACGCAAACCCCATAAGCTCACTTCACTGTGAAAAGAAGAGGGCTGTCTGTAATCAATGGTGACCCAATGCCATCCCCGCTGTCCCTCCCCATCACACCTCTCGCTCTCATCAGCCGCCTTCTCAGCCTCCTCCAGCTTCTGCAGGGCAGTGGCCAGGCGCTCCTGGGCTCGGTCCAGCTCCTCCTCCACTAGTTGGATACGGCGGTTCAGAGAAGCGACTTCAGCCTCAGCCTGGGGGAGCAGAAACCCCTTGGTCACTCCATGTCTCATGTACATATATAAAAAAGAAGCATTTTCAATGGTTACTTCTACATTTGCTACCCACAACACTGCTTGGCACCATGCAACAAGACAACACTCGCTGGAATAGGGTGCCAACCACGCATCCCCTCGCCTTTCTATAGGGACAACAGGGTTTTCTCCATTCCTAACGCCCTGTTTGACGCCGGATCCTCCTGGCCATGCAACCCCAGCCCAGCATGTGCAGCCCCTTCTCCATGTCCTCGCACCTCCAGGTCTTGCCCCAGAGAGGGACAAGGTGTGTTCGCCAGCATAGGGTGGCCGTAGCAGCCGTGCCGTCACGGGGATGGTATTTGGGGTTTGCAGAGCAGTGAGTAAAGGGGGAGGAATGCCCTGTGCAGCTTCGCTCCCGAAAAGGAGATTGGAG